TGGGAGGAGGGTGCTTCGGAGCAGCTCTCTTCCTCCGCACTGGGGCAACTTCAGGCAGGCGAACTTCACCACCGGTGGGCCCAAAAGGGGCCTGCTCTGGCCGGCGCACGGCTGCATCGCCCCCCACCAGCCTGAGTGTCTCTCTACCTCCGCCCCGCGGCAACTTCAGGCAGGTGAACTTCACCCCGGCGGGCCCAAAAGGGGCCTGCTCCGGCCGGCGCACGGCTGCATCGCCCCCCACCAGCCGGCTGGCCAGGGAAGGCAAGGCTGGGCTCTCTGGTGGCCCGCCAAGCAACGCATCCCTTTGGCGCGCGGGGTGTGTGTATGCAGTTTGGCGCCCCTGAGGGCCAGCGCGCCCTATGCGAGCGCCTAGTTCGCCTAGTGGGCGAGCCGGCCCTGGGCGCGCACACACACACACACACACACACACACACACTCATAAAACAAGGAATCATTACATGGATGATTTAGCTTAGCCTTCCCTTTCCAGCAAGGTGGATTCTGGACCTCTGTCTCATAGCTGATCACAACCTGGAAATTATCTTAAATCTGCTACTGTTTGGACATGAGCTTTCTACTCATCAGTATTGTTGAAGAGGGGAGTTTGTATGCTTTGCTGTTCCCTTTAACTGTTAGGTGTACTGTTTAAACTTTCACCATTCTTACCTGCTTACCAAAAATTTTGGCATAGTTGCTATCTGATTTACACCATGTGGAACTTGACTATTTTCTTGCTGAAAATATTCTTCTGGCTACTTCTATTTATTTTAAAAAAAACTATTGATTGGCTGAACTCTTCTAGTTAAAAGGCTTAAAAGTTTGGAGACAACAACCAGTTTTCTCATACGTTGTAGTGGAATAATGCTTATCAGTCCAGTTTATGTCCAGTCTGTTTTTTCCTTTTATCCCCCTTCATTGCAGTACTGGATGTCTGGGAGAGTGCAGAGGCTGCCTTTACCACATATTGTATGCTAGGGAAGTTTCTACCTATCAAGGGAATTTCTTTTAACCTTTATGTAAATATTTGTTGTTCTTGGGGGGGGGGGTGGCCTCTTAACTGAGCACCCAACCTAAAATGTGTCTTCTGCAAACACCTGTATGTTCACCATGTAGCTGGATTTGTTCACATTTTAATTGTGATTGATGCATCTGAATACTGCTTGAATTAACTTTCTCATCTCTGACAATATTAAGAGACTGAGAAAATAGATGAGCAACATGGAAGTGCTATGATCCAAGTGGGTATGAGCTAGGGTGATTGCTTGCCTTATGTACAGGGGTTTTGAATTCCACCTTCAAGATGACTCCCCCTCCACCTCCAAGCACAAGAAAGTCCCTTGTCGTGGGTGGGAACTTTCCAGACCAGCGACTGTTAAGGTGAAAGCATATTGTAGGAAGAAAAATTTGCTCCTCTAATTATCGTATGACCTACGAGCGGACTGCGAGAAGGGACCATTGATTAATGGCTGCCATCACTAAACAATATATGACCACTAGCACTTTATTATATTAGTTGGCTTTAAAATTGTTTTAATTGTAATTCATATGTTGTACTCTGTGTGAGCCACCCTGAGCTGGCCTCGGCCAGGAGGGGGGGGGTATAAATCTGATAATAAATAAATGTTGTGTGTAGAATAGCCGGGAGATCCTAAGATTGTCTGGCAGCCAGAAGTTCTAACTCTTTAGTGTTATGCACCAGTAGGTGATGAGCGAGACTTATTTTAGGGCAAGAGACATTTCAGAAGTGGTTTGCCATTTCCTACCTCTGTGTCACAACCCTGGTATTCCTTGGAGGTCACCCTTCCAAATACTAGCCAAGGCAAACCCTGCTTAGCTTCCAATCTTATTGGATTGGGCTATCCCGGGCTGTTCTGCTCCTCTATTTGTGTGCTACTAGAAGCGCTTTCCACTGGTATATGTGAGTGGAGTGGTGGTGGTGAACATATCCCCATAAAAGCTTCCCCCAGTCATCATACATTGCTGATACTAGTATTAGAATTTCAAACACATTATAATGCTACATACTTCTTTAGTATTCTCCAACCAAAATCTGTTCCAAATGAAAGGGTTAACTACAGGTGTAAAATTTCTGGAAAGTTTTAAGCTGGGGATGTGTGTGTTTTTTCCTTATTTTTTCTCTATAGGGAAAACGTTTGGGAAAATGGAAATTTGGGGGGAATTGAAATAGATGCAACCAAACCTAAACTAACTTTACTGCTTTAACAACATAAAATGCATAATTTATAACGTAGCATATAAAATTGCTATCTTACATGTTTTGGTCTCAGTTGAAAGTTATTTAGTCTACAGTGGTAAACCACTTGTAAACTCCAAATATACCTTTTAAAAAGTCAAGGTAGAAAAATATTACTGGGAAGATTGGGTTCCTGGAAATTTTATTAGCAGTGTAAGTTGATTTTATGTTTACACTTCCTTTTGTTTTCTACATTAGTTCTGAGAACTGAATAGCTTAGTCCACTTGATACACATTTAAACTACCTTCATACTTTATACTTGGAACGTACAGTCCAATTTCATTTAGTGCTCTCAGTGTGTTTTTTAACAGTATGAATTCTTGATTGCTAAATTTGTCTGAAATTGAGTGTAGCATACAGCATTTTGACTATTGATAGTATTTTTACACAATGTTGCAGTAGTTCAAAACTTTTCTACTTCTTTCATTGATAAGATCTCACAATACAAGAACTCGTGGGCACTCAATGAAATTGCTGAGCAGTCAGGTTAGAACAGATAAAAGGAAGTACTTCACCCAAAGAGTGAGTAACATATGGAATTCACTGCCGCAGGAGGTGGCGGCGGCTACAAGCATGGACAGCTTCAAGAGGGAATTAGATAAACATGGAGCAGAGATCCATCAGTGGCTATTAACCACAAGGCATAGATAGGAACTCTGGGGCAAGTGATGCTCTGTATTCTTGGTGCTGGGGGGGCAACAGTGGGAGAGCTTCTAGGGTCCTGGTTCCATTGCTGGACCTCCTAATGGCACCTGGTATTTTTGGCCACTGTGTGACAGAATGTCGGACTGGATGGGCCATTGGCCTGATCCAACATTGGCTTCTCTTATGTTCTTAACATATGCAGTTAATAACAGGTTTACACACATGGTACCAAAATGTCCTTAATTTGTAGAGTGCTGCTATTTATGGCTTATTTGCTGGAAACGTCTGAATTTCTTCTGTTCCTAGTAAATCATTAGCAAAGCCATGGGTGGATCTACGAATCCTATTCTCCTGGACTGGTCATTTGTAAGGAACTGTGTACAGTAGTAAAACAAGCTATATGGGAGATGGCAAAACAGTGTAGCAATGATACCTGTGTGGCATGCTCAACTAATATATTTTTTCCTTTTCTGTTTTAAAGGTGCCTTAGCTGGACCAATAGTTGATCCACATGTGAAAGCAGTATGGGGGAAGGATGTTACACTGAAATGCATAATTGATATAAATGAAACATTAACACAAATTACATGGGAGAAGATACATGGAAAGAGTGCACAGACTATTGCTGTTCATCATCCTGAATATGGATTTTCCGTTCAAGGAGAATATCAAGGAAGAGTATCACTTAAAAATCATTCGCTTACGGATGCATCAATCATCTTGACAAATGTTACTTTCTCTGATTCTGGAGAATACGTATGCAAAGCAGCTACATTTCCTCTAGGAAACTCCCAGTCATCAACAACTGTAGCTGTATTGGGTATGCTTATTTTAATATCTCTTTTGTACATCTTTTCATGTAGAATGTAGGTCAAACTAAATGTAATAGTTTACAGTGAGCATTACAATAGAAGTGCTATTTCATGTTTCTCTCTCATTTCAATGTCTGTTGAAAGTCGTGTTTGCTTCACTTACATTAATTACAAAATAGATTCCTAACTGTATACTGGGAACTCTGGGATTTCTTGATAGATTACCTGGGGTTTATCACTTTGAAAATCTGTAATGGCCATCAAGGTACCCTGAAAGTCCAATAATAGTAATTTGAAATGACAAGAAAATATTAGGCGTGTTCTGGATCACATGGTTTACCTTACTGCACATGTTCTGTGTGCCACCAGTACTTCCCTTCTCTAGGGTCAATGTATGTGATTATTTCTCAATTTTCTTGTTGTGACATTCTTTGAGTAACAAGTCTGCTCAATTTTAGCTTATACTATTTCACTACGATTTCCAAGCATACAGCTCACAAATTGAAATTAAAAGCAGTGATGCCATCTGATCTTCAGTTGGGGACCTCATAATATGAACTCCTCCCCCAATTTAAATGCTTCGTTTTATTTTGAATGAGACTGAGACTCTTGGTTCTCTGTTGAAATGGGGTTAGGTATGTAGCCCTTGTAGTTATCCCCCTCTTATTTTCCAACACACATATACAGAACTTACTTTGATAAAAGGGAGGACATTGCTATGCACAAATCCAACACTGCCTGACTTTTGGAATGCTCTGAGCATGCTTAGGAGGAGGATTTCATTCTGACATCCTGGATTTGTAGTTTACCCATCTTCTGGAAATGAAGAGGTCTACAGTCCCATTGGGTTTGTGTCTAGTAAGCCCTCCTTACTTTGTGTCCACCCTTTCACCCCATCTAAGGTAAATGTTCATTTCCTTTGTTCAGAGGAAAATGGGGACTAACTGGATGGGACCTGTGTGTTCCCTATTTGAGTTTTTCTGAGTTGCCTTGTGAAATGATTGGGAAAATCCCTTTCTCCCCCCCCCCCCTTTCTTATTGACCACTTGACAGGGAGGCTAAACAAATCTGAGACATTTTGCAGGAAAGGTTTTCACACACATTAGATGAGATTGGATACAGACAGTTTTTTAGCCTCCAGCCCACACATTTTTGTCTTCGCTCAGGAAGGATGGCTCCAGAGCAAACTTAATTTATGCAGTAGCCAAATCGCTCACTCACAACTTTAATGCCAGTAGCTCACAAAGAATTCTTGCTCACAAGATACCACGGCTTAGAGGGAACATTGGATACAGAAGCAGTTATTCAAGAGTTATGAAACTGATTATGATAAAACTTAACTATTTAACATGAAATTTCAAAAATGGGATTAAATGAGAACATAAACCTGCAATACTCAATCTTATAACACTAATGGTTTCATTTGAAACATTGCTGTCAATTTATAATAGCAATTAGAAAATAGCAGTTTAAATAGAGATTACATTATAAGAGGTTTCTAGCTTAGATAAATTTCTTAAATTAGCCAAATTTATTTGTAGTCAATTAGTATAGTGGTTGATTGGTCAGACTGTTTTCACTGTCCTGTCTCAAGAATAACTCTTAAGATACTTCTGATCTTTGTAGGCTAAAACCACAACATGAAGATTAAGAATAGAAAATTTGAAACTGCCTCAGTTCTCAGAGTTGTTTCCACATTGGAGATTATCAGTTGTTCACATCAAGGATTGCATAGTCATATTAACTTGGTGATGTCAATTTTTCTTTCAGTCAGTGTTCTGACTTGTATCTTGAATATGCACCAGATCCTCCTGTAGGAATAGGTGAACTATTTAAAGGCCAGTTATCCAAAGCATTGTCACAGTAAGCTGAGATAGGTGGGACATATTTTTCTTTAGTTCTTCTAAAGCTGTGATTATTAACGTTTAATCCACAAGTACCCCCACAGTATATAACAAACCACAAGTAAACAGGATACTAAAACTCCAGACATGGATCTTTATGTATAAGAGAGATACATTTGCCCATGTAAGCTCTGATTCCCACCTCCCCAAGTTTTGTTCATTGCCCCACAGAAGGGTATTAAATATCCAGAAACTTGTTCCTTCTAATTTGTAAGTATTGTGTTTGGGCACAAGATACTGGCTTTCTTTAAGATCTGCTGTATTGGCGATACTACCTACTGATATTTTACATAATCCTTTGGTAAAAAATGCCTGTCTTGGTATTTTCCACTAATTAGTGACATCACATACAGTTTGTTTGGTCACGAAGGCAGTGGAAGCTAATGGTTTACCTAGTGAGTGGAGATAATACTACTTCAGAACAATATTAGCTGTGTATGTTCCAGAATCAAGTATGCATGCTATTGTGTAAATATGAAATATTCAGAAGAAATATACTGTGAACTGCTGAGTGGTTGTAGAGCTGTCACATTACCATTGTAGCATCTTTCAAATGCTTGACTGGAGAAAGTCTTATCTTGTACATTTATGAAGTCCGGAATAACAGCCTTAAAAATCAAGCTCCTTCAGCAGGTATCTTGTTTTTTTAAAGAGTTTTATTTAGTTTTTATAGCGTATATTCATACATATACTGATATTTGTATACATATAACATGGAAGAGTCTATTGCTTATTCTTCTCCATTATCCATTTATATATCCTCACCCATCTTTCCTGAAATATATCATCTTTCCCTTGCGATATTACACTCAGTTTGTCCATTTCTGCCACTTCCAAGAGTTTCACAGCTAGTTCCTTTCTCGTTGGTATGTTTTCTTGTTTCCAATACTTCGCTATTAGGATTCTAGCTGCTGTAAAGATATGTCAGTACATATACATCATTTTCTTTGTAATCCTTAGGAATTATATTTAACAGGTAAATCTCAGGACATGGTTTTAGATTGATATGTAACATCTCTGTTATTATATTACTTACATTTTGCCAGAATCTATAGATTTTCCCACATTTCCACCACATGTGGAAGAAAGTCCCTACGTTTGCTTTACATCTCCAGCAATTTTTGTTTGATGTTTTGTACGCTTTTGCTATCTTTTCTGGAGTCCAATACCACGTATGGAACATTTTAAATATATTTTCTTTGAACGTTACAGCTCTCATTAGTTTCATTGTTCTCCATATTTTTTTTGCCAGTCATCAGTTTGTATGGCCTTTCCCAAATCTTTCATCCAGGTAATCATAGAATTCTTTATAGTTTCATCATATAAGTATTCATCTAGTAAGAAATTGTAAATTTTTTGAACTAGTTTATCATTGGAGGAAAGCCAAATTTTGTCAAGTTCAGATTTGGTTTTTAAGAATTCCACTGTTTTATCTTTGTTATATCTATCATGCAACTGTATTTGTTCCCACTATGTAAGGTGGATATTTTTGTCTTTTAGATTTTCTACTGATCTTAATTTATTTCCATTGAGCAGTATATCATATGGGATGGCTTTTTCCTTTGACATTAGTTTAGGGTTTATAAATGATTCTAAAGGAGATGCCCATCTTGTAATTTTTATATAGTGTCTATTTTTATTTCTTTCCATGTTTTAATTAGTGCCCTTCTAATAATATGATTATGAAAATTAGCATGAATTTTATCTTTCTCGTACCATAGGTATGCATGCCAACCCATGTAGAGGTCATGACCTTCTAGATGTAGAATTCTCCAGTTTTCTAGTTGTATCCAATCTTTGATCCAACCCATGGTGGCTGCTTGATAGTAAAGGCGCCAGTTTGATAAGCCCAGACCTCCTCCTTCTTTTTTGTCTTGCAATATCTTTAATTTAATTCGTGCCCTTTTTGGATACCAAATAAATTTCCTTGAACTTTTTTCTAGTTCCATAAAGAATTGGTTTCTTTTCAATATTGGTAAATTTTGTGCCAGGAATAGAAAGCGGGGTAAGATGTTCATCTAAATTGTTGCTATTCTTCCAATTAGAGATAGCTGGAGGTCTTTCCAATTAAGTAAGTCTTTTCTTATTTTGTCTCTTAATTTGTTATAATTATTCTCTATCAAACTACTATTTCTATTTGTCAGCATTATTCCTAAATATTTAACTTTGATCGCCATTTGCATTTTCGTCAATTCTTGGAGTTCATTTATTAAATCTTGTGAGCAATTTTTTTAGTATTTTAGTTTTTTTTAAATTTATTTTAAGTCCAGCTACTTTTCCATAGTCTTGTATTTCTTTTAGTAAACATGGAACTGTTATTATTGGTCTTTCTAAGATAAAAACTAGGTCGTCAGCAAATGCTTGTAGCTTATATACTTCGTCTTTAATTTTCAGACCTCTTATCTTTTGGTTTTGCCTTACATTATCATTTAAGGTTTCTAATATAAAGATAAATAATAAGTGTGATACCTTGTCTGGTACCTTTCTGGATCTCTATTTTATTTGTTATTTCACCATTCACTAAGATGCTTGCCTGTTGTTTTTTGTATATTGCTGATATCATATTTAAGAAGTTATTTCCACACTCCCATATCTCCCAATTTTCTTTTTAGGAAATCCCAGGAAACATTATCAAAAGCTTTTTCCGCGTCCAGAAAAATTAAGGACATTTGTTTCTCAGGGTGAAATTCGAAATATTCTATTATGTTGATAATTGTTCTTATATTATTTTTCATCTGCCTCCTCGGAAGGAAACCCACTTGGTCTTGATGGATAACTCGCTGTAGCACTTTTTAAAATCTTGATGCTAAAATATTTGCAAAAATTTTATAATCTACATTTAATAAGGAAATGGGGTCTATAGTTTTGTATTTCTTTCTCATCAGAGTCAGGCTTATGTATCAACGATATAAGAGCATCCTCCCAGGATTTTGGCATGGTTGTTTCTTTCACTATCTTTTGAAGTACCTCTTTATAGGGTATTAAGAGTTGTTCTTCAAACTTTTGGTACACCTCTGCTGGTATGCCATCTGGCCCAGGTGATTTATTTTTCTTTTGTTTTCTTATTGCTTCTGCTATTTCATAAGGTGCAATTGGGCCGTTTA